ATTTTGCCCGGTGCATCGTTAGTAACCAAGTTTCTGTTATTTATTCCTCATGCATCGAATGAGAAAGAAACATATTAACCTGTAGAAAAGAGCGAGGTCATCGGTAGCAAGTGTTCTTAGAACAATACAGACAACACTTCCTAACATCTTGGTACAATGTCCAATATAATTCTTTTTTCTAAAGAATTCTGTTGTCACTGGTAATATTTAACCTTCGAAATAACTGAAAAAAGAAAATTAATTGTTTTTTTGCCGAATTTACTTAAGGTAGTTGTTTATGTTAAGGTTTGATTAGTACGGATGGAATTCGTACATAGTGAAATCTACCACTAACATATTTATTGGTCGTAAGCTAACTTCAGTGAATACGGTTGCCTTGTGAAGAAACAGTTTGTGGAACAACAGCAGTTGAATACACATTCTGCGTTTTCTTTCGCCTCTCATTTGAAAAATGCCTTTAGATCATATTGAAAAAAGAAATGCGGTTTCTGACTCATAAGTACTCACAGAACAAACTCTGACGTGTATACGTGAAGTTAGGTTTTCTTCAATTATGAAAATCTGTTTTGGGATAAAGACGTTTCTGAATCTTTAGAAGAAAGTTACAGATGAAGAAGCTTTTTAATTAATAGAAAATGAAATTTTATCTAATATGTTACTATTTTACAAAGATCTTTTTATGTGCTACACCCGTGAATGTGCACTCAGCCCAATAGATCTTATGATCATAGAAGAAGAATACTCCCTTCCCTTTCGGCTACCTTTCAGTATAGGGTGCTGTCCAAGGACAGTTTCGAAAGCCCGATATTTTCCTACAACTATTACTAGCTGCAGCTCTGGACAGAAGGCCAGCCTGACTCAGAGTTCCTCCTGCTTAATCACTTAAACTCGTCATGCATACTGACTAACCACATACTAATCACAAGGGCTTTTTTATGTATGTCACACGTAGTCAGCGTGCTATCGGATGGGTGGTCCGAGACAAAAAGTTGTTAGTAACTTGTCCAAGGTCATTCAATATCTACTGGTATCGAGGTTCGAACATGTTAACCATTCAGCCATAGAGGCATCTTATGATCATAGAAAGGTTTTTCCGCATAGAGAAACCAACGAATTTTTTCAGAGTAAGCTATAAAGAAGCATTAAAATGACTCGACGACATGTTTTCAAAAAAACTATTATTTTATAGACTGTTGTTTCTTGTTAGCTGTTTCTCAAGATTTTTCTAACTCAGAACTGACACATTGTTATCATGACGAAAGTAAAATATTGTTCACACTGAACTTAGATACCATTATGGGCTTTAATACTAAAGAAGTCACTAGACTACAAGAATTGTTTGTACAAAAGTCAATTCTCTGAGGGAGGGGAAGGGGAGGTCTTCTAATTTGTCTTTTGCTTCATCCATCAAAGGGAAGTCTTGTATTAAGGAAAGTCTTCTAATGTGTCCGGGAGTTTAGATTATCTAATTGATTGTTTTGATTTGATAAAAATAATAAAATGAATATTGTTTTAAAAGAATTCTGTTTTTTAAATAAAAATAAATCCAAATGTCAATTTTTATTTGAATAAATATTCTCTTTATTCTCATATGAAAATAAAATAAATGATTAGACAAAAAACCGTATATTAATTTATGAAAGTTTTCAAAACACATAATATATTATCTATAGAGTTGAGTAGATAATCATTTTTCTATTTATTCAGGTGATAGACAAATACAAACAGGATTAACTATTTAAAAATAAACTTGTTCTTTTCCTTTTTTTCTCATTTGAATATTCGAAAAAAATTCTTCTATAATCTATTCAAATTTCATATTAACAAAAAATTTATATCTTGAAAATAAAACAAAATTTATAATAATATTAAATAAAATATATATTGAAGGATTTATTAATATTATTCTTGTTTAAAAACACAAAGAAAAGAAAAGAAAAGAAAAGAAAAAGAAAGTTTTATTTAAAAAAAAGAAACCAAATTGAATAAAATGATCTTAAAATATATTAAGAGATAACACAACATGTTAATTTTGTTTTGAAAATTTTTCTTCGATGATGATGATTCTTTTTGATTGACGAAGATTTTGAAAGAATTTTATTTGAATTAAATTTATAAAGATCAGATCTTTCAGGTAGAATTAATATTGGTTCATCATATCGTTTTGGTATTGTTGGTGGAGGTAAAAGAGATGGAGGAGCATCATATCCTTCAAAATTTGACATTTCAATCTGTCTATCATTACATTGAAAATAATGTTTATCATATGTACGAATAGATTGATGTTCTTCATATGGTGGAGCTGAACCGATTGGAATTTCAATTAAACGAAATGGCAAATTTTCAGCTGGAACGAAACATTTATCGTTTCCCATTGTTTAAATAGAAAGAAAATAATATTTTTTTTCGTTTTTCAATAAGAAATGAAATAGTAACGCATATTCATAGATAAGAATCCATCACGTTTTTTTTATCGATTCTTTTACTAAGAGTGAGGACCTTCTCGGCATTTTTCTATGCATACTTATTCATCAAATTTTTTTTTTTTTCTTTCTTTTTTTTCCTCTATATTCATTAGATGTTTTTGTTTTTTGTTCACACTATTTTTCGATTATAATTATTTCTATATTTAAATCTTCATTGATATCATTTTTATTTATGAAAATAAAAAAAAAAGAACCGAATAAAAATTGATTTTGATTTTGTCAATATAATAAAGTGTTTGAGATAAGATTTGATAAAAGATTCTCGATATATATTATTCAGTTTTTTTTCCAATATTTTTCTCTTATTAAATAGAAATATTTTTGTTTATGTTTTTCATTCAGTGTCGAAAAAGAGAATATTTATTCAAATAAAAATTGACATTTGGATTTATTTTTATTTAAAAAACAGAATTCTTTTAAAACAATATTCATTTTATTATTTTTATCA